GCCAGGGAGCAAGATCTCAAAGGCTCCAGAGAATAATAGTTTTGCAGTTACTTTTCTGCACTTAAAATCAAAGGAAGGGAAGGAAGATTACATGAAGGTAGGAGAAAGCAAGGCAGGAGACTCATGCTTCAGAAGGAGGGATCTGAAAGGGGGCATTTAAAAGGTATGTTATTTGGATGCACAGAAACAATGAACAGGGCTTAAGGCAAAAATAAGCCTTTAAAGTTATATTCCTGGGGCATCACTCCCCACCATGACCAGCCCAGTTAGGAATTTATAATCAGATCACCAAATGAGGTTACTTTCCATAGAACCCCTTTTTCTTCCACAACTGACAAACCACAAAGTAAGCAAATGAATCATACAAATAAAATCTGAACAGGGTAGAGTCAAAGACTGGCATCTGGGATGGATCTTATTGGTTATATATTTGAAAGCACATCCAAATTCAAGCACAGGAAGCCCTTTCTTTTCCTAACACTGCCAAGAACAATTTGGTTTTGAGCTGAAACCAGAATTAGCAAACATTGGATAACATTACATCACCATCAATGATTCAACAACAACAAAGGGTATCTACAGAGGTACAGTCTGAAAAGCATCACTTCATGCTACGGGTTGAATTGTGCCCTCCCATAGATAAAGATAGGTTGAAGTCCTAGTTGACAGTACCTCAGAATGTGACCTTATCTGGAAATGTGGGGTGCCCTCAGTGTCCCCAGCTGTTGCCAGTGGAAGTGGAATTCTTGCAATGTTGCAAGGAAAGTAATTTCCTGAGACTCGCACTGGAGAATGAGTGATATTTATATCTGTGGAATTAAACCCCTGGGTTGCCACCATGGAAGAAGTCCAATCTTATCTTCAGCGAGGCTAGGATTAAAGCCACTGCCCAGAGTTTCCACACCATATTAAAGCACAGTCTAGGCCAGCATCTGGCTAGCTTAGCTTGTGTTCCCAGCAGCAGTCCATTGCATCTGGGGTCTGCACGGACATAACGCTGCTTAAGGTCACATGAAGGGCTAGCGCACGGGCGAGTACAGGTCACTGAGCAAGAGAGTGCAGGGAGCAGGAGCAAAGCAAGAGGCAAGAGAGAGAGAATTCTTTGCCCAGAGATTTTTAACCTTCCAAGATTTCACAGCTTGCAGTAGCTTCAGCCCCTAGGCCAGTGATGGTGAACCTTTTAAGCTCGGCGTGTCAGCCTTTTGAAAAACCCTAACTTAACTCTGGTGCCGTGTCACATATAGAATATTGTGATATTTGCAACCATAGTAAAACAAAGACTTATATTTTTGACATTTATTTTATATATTTAAATGCCATTTAACAAAGAAAAATCAACCAAAAAAATGAGTTCGCGTGTCACCTCTGACAAGCGTGTCATAGATTTGCCATCACTGCCCTAGGCAATTACCTTTGTCCCAGGTAAGACTGACAGACAAGCACCTTCCCTAGTCATCCTGACTTCACTGCGCATGCACCCATTTCTCTTTGTTTGATCCCTTTCCCCAGTGATCTGCAGGAAATAGACCAGTGTTCCCTGGGGAGTGTGCCACTATAGCTTACTGGTGAAGCTGCCCAGATGACCATGCTTATAATGATGTCTGGCCTCGCCTTTGCTTTCTTCGTATTATTATTAGCTAGCTAATTATGACAATGAGAGAAATGGGGTCACTGCAGATAGGGTCATGGTAATTAGTTAAGATAAGGATACAGTGGAGTAGGGCGGGCCCCTAATCCAACATGACTGTTGTCTTTATTACAAGACAGCTCTGTGAAGACACAGAGATATAATAGTGCCTCAATTACTTTCATTTTGCCTCAAACCAAGGAATCTATCATCATGTACTGGCCCAGTTAATGCACTGTTTTCAGAAGATCGTTATTCATTTAGCTCATAATACCCTGAAAAAGAAGTAGTATTCTAATGGTAAACACAGTAAATAATAAACAACATAAAGCACATACAGACAGTCCTCGGATTACATCGGACTCGATGTACATCGTTTCGTGGTTACGTCGCCATCTCCCACTTATTTATAAAACAAAAAAGTTCTGTCATTTCGACGTATGTACATATGTGCTTTATGTTTTTTGTTATTTATTTACCACAAGGTCAGGAATTGTTATCTTTCTTTTAAATTTTTTTTACTGTTTCACTTCATTACTGCTGTGTATGCGCTCCATGTGAGTGACGTAGGTGCTTATGTAGGTGGGTTCCGACTGACGGCAAAAATCGCCTTACGTCGCACGTTAGGAACAGATCTCCGACGTAACCCGAGGGCCTACTGTATGTACATAATCAAAATGACGGAACTTTTTTTTATAAATAAATGGGAGATGGCGACGTAATTGCGAAACGATGTACATTGAGTCCGACAATATATCTAACAATCAAAGATGTCCTTAAAAATGACAAAACAGGTAACAGGCAGGCTATCATATTAATTTTCCCTTGGTCTTGGGATAAACTTGATACAAAATGACTTTTTGAATCCCAAATCCCTAAGTCACACTTCTTTTTTTTCAAAGCCTAGTTCACAAAATTCACAGTGGTGCTGACTGTGTATTAACCACTATTGACAAAAGTCCCCTCAACCTGCCTGTTGCCATGCCAACGGAGTGACTGAACTGGTGACATCTGTTGGAGCATGCTTTGTGTGGCTGGTGGAATGCCACCATTGTGCATACACTTTGTATCAGGAGTGAAGGGGGGTTTTTCTAGATTTATGGGGGGGAGGGTAAAACTTTTTTTTGTTTTTTTGATGGGAGTGGGTATAGTACTTAGCTTACCCCTAAATAACATGTATAAAAACCCCTGAAATATTGTGTGGGTGTGTGTGTGAGTGTGTGTATATGTCTGGCAATTAAACTGTTGTCTTCTGGAAATTAGTGAATTCTTTTTTCCCTCCAGAAGTATTTGTTACAAGATTTGTAAATAAGAGCTCTACTTAGTTTGTTTACCATGACCATGTTGCAGCAAACCTTAAATACCTAATTCCTGTAAGATTTAAGGAAAGACTTGAAAACGTGTCAGGTTAAGCAGCAGCCACGTTTTCAGAAATTGTTTGCCTTGATTCATCTTTCAGACTTCATTTGCCAGCTCTAAAATTCCCAGTCTTCCTTAATTTTAGTCCTTAATCTTTTACGTTCTGAGCAGGAAGGGTAAAAGAGGAACCTGCGTAAATGTGTTTAATTGTAAGTCCATGGGCTGAGAACGGGGCATCCCTTTCTTAATACTGCAATGTTGCTAGATATGTGATCAGACACCAGAGGGTTGGGCGTTCTTGCAATACCTTAACAGTGCTGAGATCTGCAGCATGGTACTAAGGAAGTTAAAGTTTGAATGTAACCACTTTATTTAAAAGTTGTTTTTTATTTAAATGAAATGGGGTTGAAATGAACACGATTTTGTTCGTGAATTATAGATGCAACATACATTGGTAGACGTGTGATGGTCTTTTGTGATACTTAATTTTTACATATCCCAGTCTCTGTATGTACCTGCATAGACAAAAAAACAAATTCCTGCTTTCTTTATGGAAGGGTTTCCAGGACTGCGTGTCTGCTCCTGAGCTGTTTTAAGTATGTGTATCCTTTGCTTGTATTTTGTATTAAAAAATAAGAAAAAGAACCCTTTATTGTTGAGCATGTTGGCACTGTCCCCTTTACTTTTTTCTTTTTTCTTTTTGGGACATGAAGCAAGTTATTCTTTTTCTGTATCTTTTTTTTCTTTTGTAAACTTTGTTTTGTTTAAAAATGGCTTTATAAAAGGGCTTTTATAACCCCCCCCCCCAAAAAAATGACAAAACAGGTAACAGGCAGGCTATCATATTAATTTTCTTTTTTTTATTTCTGTCACTTTAGGCACTCTACTATGGAAAGTACAGTTAACCTTTGTAATCAAAGCCATCTTCTCCTTAGTTTAACATTTAACAACTGTCTCTTCATTCATCAAGTAAAAACATTCTGAGGACCCCACAAAGTTGTGAAAGATGCTGAATATGGCACTAGTGAAGCTAATTCCTGCAGTCATGGAGCTGATGCATAAATTTAACAGATTCCCTTGGTACTCTTGTGCTAAGAGAATCAATAATTCAGGCTATTTTTGCATCTAATGTTAAACCTGAAGGGACAACAGGCATAAAATAAGATATTCTCAATATGAGCTCAAGAGCAAATGACTTCATTAATGAAAATAATGTTTTAGTTAAAATTGTGAAAGTGTAACACTGAGAAAACAGTTACTAAACCAGAATAAAAAGATTATGAGATAAGTTTAAGGGTTAGCACTAAAAATGAAATTCATTTTGGCCATTATTCATAGAAAAGCAGTCATAGAAAAGGAGATGAATTCAAAAATGTACAAAGTGCTTCAGGATATTCCCAATATGGTTAGGTTCAAAGCAACAAAGCCTATAATAAACAGAGAATACTTAAAAACTATAATGAGATGTATAGCACAGTATTTAAGTGATTTAGCTCCAGAACTAGAACACATGAGCTGGAATACCGGCACTAAAACTTAGTAGCTATGAGACCTTGGACAGGTCACTAATTTTAGTTATTATCATGTGTAGAATATAGATTGATAATAGTCTACCTCACAGAACTGGTAGAACTATCATAAGAGATATTTCATACAGCACTTAGAACAATGCTTGGCACATGGAAAGTACTCAATAAATGTTAGCCATTACTGGCCATCATTATGGGAGTAATCATGAAAATATTTTATACCACAATGAAATTCATCACTTATCTTTTGGCTAAGAACTTAAAAGTTATCAAACGTAGAGATGAATTACACATTTATTTTTCAACTAAATAAGACTTCCCAATTTGCTGGCCTGTTCTGAGATATTTTATAAAGATTGAGTGAGGTCTTTTGAGAATATTCCATGAATATCTCCTGCTTACTCAGTTAAAGGTTACATTGATAGTGTTGGCCACAAATAGCTAACAGAGACTACTTCTTCAGAACTTAGAAACAGTATACATACTCTCAAATCAGGAGAAAAGTTGTCTGCAGAAGTTGAAATGGAATCCGATGACACAACAGAAGCAGATTTTGTATGCACTGAATTCTCTGAATGAGAAGTGGAAGCACTGCAAAATAAAAAGCAACAGTATGTTTGAAAATGGGGCTTTCCGATTTCAGAAATTTTCATTAGAACTCCATTATTTATCAAAACTTCCACTGCCAACTAGTCATACTTTGCCCACTCAATCTTATCTTCAAATACGGATAAACTGCAAACTCTGTATTACTGCATGGGTAAGTATTCTTACCATCCACGCTCCCTCTGAAAGACTTCCCCAATACTCAAGAAAATATTCCCAGCTAATTCTTTTTATCAAATTCGTCCATTCTTTCATCCAGTGAACATTCACTGAATAATATGTGCAAACCCATTACACACGAGGCACTATGATCTGGAGATAAATATGTTATAATCCCAGTATTCATGAAGCTCACAAGCATATGGCTGAGAAAGCCAATAAATAAATGCAATGTAATGATAGAGATGAGATAAAGATAGAGCTAGAGCTAGAGCTAGAGCTAGAGCTAGAGCTACAGATGGATAGATAGGACAAAAATACACACTCTAGATAGGACAAAAATACACACTCTCTGGGAGAAAAGAAAAGGAAGCACCTAACTCTACCTAGGAAGTTCAGATAGGATTTCACAGTTAAAAGAAGAAATTGCAAGGCTGACAAACAAGGGAATTTCAAAACAAACAAAAGACACTGCAAAGTTACAGAATCATCATAGAGCACAGACTATTTGAGAAACCACAAATAGTTCAACAGGGCTGGACAAGCAGAACAGCAGAAGATAAAGATAGAAAGACAAGTCTGTCTTTGTACCTTGTACCTTTTCACCAAATCAAATTCTACATTTTATTAAAAAATATTTTTTTATTGATTTCAGAGAGGAAGGGAGAGGGAGAAAGATAGAAACATCAATGATGAGAGGGAATCATTGATTGGCTTCCTCCTATTCACTGCACAATGGGGATTGAGCCCACAATCCGGGCATGTGCCCTGACGGGGAATCAAACCATGACCTCCTAGTTCATAGGTCAATGCTCAACCACTGAGCCACGCAGGCAGGTATCAAATTCTATACTTCTAATATGCCTATCTTAAATGTCCACCTATCTTAAACATCCACTTCTTCTACTAAACTAAGTACTCACACTCTACAGTTACTTTTATTCTCTGAAATTCCTACAAATGAGCTCTGTATTTTCCTGAATTCATACCTTTGCTCAAGCCATTCCAAAATAGAATGCCTCTTTATCCCAATCTGTTTATTAAAATCCTACCTACTCTTTAAAACCCAGTAAAAAGCTAGCTTTTCCAAGAAGTCTTGCCCAGGACTTTTAGCTGGAACTAAGTTTTTCTATACTTTCGTAGACTTCTGTCTATACTCTACAATGGCACTTAACACTTTTCACATTAGACTAGAGCTTTTTGGTAACATGACCACCTCCTTATTAAGAATCTTCTAACAACTGGCAAGGCATTTAAATGGAAGCAAAGACTGCAGTCTGCTAATATAATCAAGTAAACAATACCAACTTGGTCCTGTTTTCCTAGGCCCATAAACTTCACTAAAATCAATCCAAACATTGCTGTTATCCTTGTCATCCTAAGTTTCTCTTCAAAAATCCCAGAGCTTCTAGTCTAACTATGTGTTTCTCCTCCATCTATTAACCTGTCCAAGTCTCC